ACGACAGACGACAGACGACGACAGACGGCAGACGACAGACGACAGACGACGACGACGACGACGACGACGACGACGACGGCGACGCCGACGACGACGACGGACGACGACGGACGACGACGGACGACGAGGCGGCGGCGAGCCCTCGGCGGGCCCTCGGCCTGCCCCCCGCGGGCCGCCGGCCGAGCGCCCGGGGCGGGCCGGCCGCCCGCGGCGGGTCCGACATGTCGTCGTCCACGGCGGGCCGCCCGGCCGCGAGGCCCTCCGCGCCCATGGCGCGCGCAGCGCGGCGCGGCGCCTCGGAGGGCGGCGCGGCGGGGGGGGCTCCGCGGCGCCCGCGGCGGAGGCGGCCGGGCCTCGGCGGCCCTGGCGGTGTGCTTCCAGGGCCGGGCGAGGGGCGCGGCGGCGACGGGCGGCGGCGGGCGGCGGCGACGGCAGCCACGGCGACGACGGCAACGACGGCAGCGACGACGGGCGGCGACGACGGCGGCGACAGGCGGCGGCGGCGGCGGCGACAATAGCGACGACGACGACGGCGGCGGCGGCGACGTTCTGTTCGAGACGGCCGGGCCACTGTTTGCGGCAGCGGGTCTGATGAGCGGGTAGGCGGCCGCGAATGACTGGCAGAACGGGCCTGACATGACCCCAAATGGGGCAGCAAAGCAGCGCAGCGCAATGCGACGCGAGGCACTGAACCCACAAGAGGTTTTCATCTCTTGGGGGCGCATCTTTTACTTCCGCCACCTTCTGCCGCCCCTCCGCTGGCTTCCACCGGCGGAGGGGGCCTCGTTTTACTTCCGCCGCCTTCCGCCGACCTTCCGCCGCCCTCCGCCGCGGACGAGATGACAACTCCTTCGATCCTCGAAGGCAAGGCCCTGGTTGGTGGTGTCGGCTCATCGCCGCCATCGGCCCACCCAGCGACCTTTGCCTACAGATGGCCTTCACTGCGCCGTGCTGGGCGGCGCTGAGCGCCTGGCAGCGGCTGGCGGATGCAAGACTCCGACCTGTGCCCTTGCCAGGCGCGGCCCTCCTGCGCGTTCACCCGGCCGGGACCCGCGCGAGCGCCGCAGACGGGAGACCGAGAAACCGAGAAACCGAGAAACCGAGGGAGCGGGAGGAAGCAGGAGGAAGGAGGAGTGAGGACAGGGGGGGAGGCAGGACGACCGAGGAGGAGGGAGGACCGCGGAGCAGCGGCAGGGGAAGGGGGGGGGGGGGGGGGGCGCCGCGTCGCGGCCACCCCGGAGAGCAGGGCGAGCTCGCACGGCGTCCGCCATTTCACAGGGCCTCCTCCGCGCCAGCCCGAGCCGAGCCCTCATCGGCCCCCGTTGGCATCCGTCCTGAGAGTCGGGGGCGGCCAAGAGGGGGGCGTCCGAGAGGGGGGGGCGCAGATCGTGGCCGGCAGCACGTGCGCGGCGCAGGGGGCCCGGGACGCATTGAGGCCAGAAGAGGCGCCGTGAAGTCTGGGGAGATATCATGGCCACGGCCATGAGATCCCCCACCCCCAGTCATCACCCCCTCTTGTAGAGGCCCCCTAGATGGGATCGGAGTAGATGGGGTCGGAAGATCTCGACGCATCGCCGATACATCGGCGATGCATCGGCGATGCGCTGGAGACGTCGCCGATGCATGGGCAACGTCGGCGTGGGAAATCGGGCTCTACATCGAGCCGCATCGGCGATGCACTGGCGATGCGACGCGATCCTCCGACCCCTTCTGCTCGGACCCCGTCTGGGAGGCCTAGATCTTGGCCGCCCCCGAGAGAGGCCGTGCAGCGCCATCCGTCAGACGTCGTAGAACTCATTTGACATCAACGATGATCGGAGGACCGCGGCGGCGCGGCCCCGTGCGGTGCCGAGTCGCCTGTGCTATGCAGATGCCCGCCCTCGTCTCTACCAGCGCCAGCAGCCCGAATTAAAAATGCGCTCCGGGCCGCGTGTGATGCTCCTGGGACGCACAAAGGCAGACTAGTACTAAATGTCCTCCTTGGAGGCGCGCGTGCGACCCGAGCACATCGTACACCCATCTTGTATCACATCGTTTCCCAAGCGGTGTGGCCAGAAAACGCCGACCACGACGCATATACTACAAGATTTCTCGGTGCGCGCGTCGCCCCTGGGGGGGTGATGCGCATATGGTATTAGTATGTTGGATCGACGCCGAGCTCCCGCTCCAGTCCTCTGCGTCACTGCGGTCCTGCGGTGGGCAACGCGTGGCCCGCTCCTTCGCAATGCGTGGCCAGTCGCACGGTCCCTTCGCCTTGCGGCTGAAAACGTGTCGGCCTTCTTTACCCGAAAACGCTGTCCCTCCCGTTCTTCCCTCGCGCTTTCATCCATTTTCCGACCTCGTCCCCTCCTGTACCGTTCACCTGTCCACCTCAACACATTCCGATCCTTCCGCTATCTCATCCTCTAGAGGACTCAACACCACGCATCGCGCTCCAAGCTCGTGAAAGCACGTCGAACGTGGAAGAACAGGTGTTCCAGGACGGGGTTCGCGGAGGGGGAGGAGGAGAACCGAGGGTTGAGGATCGAGGAGGATCGAGGTGGATCGAGGATCGAGGAGGACCGCGGATCGAGGAGGCCCGAAGATCGAGGGTCTTCAGCGTTTCAGGCGCTTCCTGGGCGCGGAACGAGGCGGGGCGCGATCGAGGATCGAGGAAGACCGCGGATCGAGGAGGACCGAGGATCGAAGGTCTTTGGCGTCTCCGGTTCTCCTCGGGCGCAGGGCGGGGCGGGGCCCGGGGAGGACGGACTTTTCCGAAAGGGCCCCCCGCCCCCTGTCTCGGAGGCCCTCCTCGGCCCCCCGCCCCCTGTCTCGGAGGCCCTCCTCGATCCGCGGTCCTCCTCGATCCTCGATCCACCTCGATCCTCGATCCTCGATCCTCGATCCTCCTCCTCCTCCCTCCTCTTCCTCCTCCTCCTCCTCCTCATCATCATCCTCCTCCTCCTCCCCTCCTCTCCTGCTCCCTCCTCCTCCTCTTCTTCCTCCCCCACCTCCCCCTCCTCCTCCTCCCCCTCCTCCTCCTCCTCCCCCCCTCCTCCTCCTCCTCCTCCTCCTCCTCCTCCCCTCCTCCTCCTCCTCCTCCTCCTCCTCCTCCTCCTCCTCTCCTCCTCCTCCTCCTCCTCCTCCTCCTCCCTCCTCCTCCTCCTCCTCCTCCTCCTCCTCCTCCTCCCTCCTCCTCCTCCTCCTCCTCCTCCTCCTCCTCCTCCTCCTCTCCTCCTCCTCCTCCTCCTCCTCCTCCTCCTCCTCCTCCTCCTCCTCCTCCTCCTCCTCCTCCCTCCCCCTCGTCCCCCTCCTTCCCCTCCACCTCCTCGATCCTCGATAGGGGGCCTCTGAAATGCGCGCCTATGTTTCGAGCCGCTCCCATGTGCACGAATTTCCAATATTGCGCCCTCCCTCTCGTCAACCTGCTCAATGCTTCGCCTTTTCCGCGCTCTCTTCCTGGTGCTGCTCCTCCCCCCAATCCTCCCATCCTCATCCTCGTCCTCGCCCTCGTCGTCTTCCACCTCCTCCTCCTCCCTTTCCTCCTCCAGTTCCTCCTCCTCCTCCTGCTGCTGCTGCCCCTCCTCCTCCTCCTCCTCCTCCTCCTCCTCCTCCTCCTCCTCCTCCTCCTCCACGCTTCTTCTTCTCCTCCTCCTCCTCCTCCTCCTCCTCCTCCTCCTCCTCATCATCATCATCATTATCCTCCTCGTCCTCCTCCTCCTCGCACGTGGATGCGCAACCAGAGTTCGCCCCAGGCCGATCACCTCAGCTGAAAGCGGGCCGTTGCCGCCAGCGCACGGGCATGACGCTCGTCGGCAACGATCACCGAGAGCGAGCGTTGACTGTTGATTTTGTTATAGAGAAGGGTAGCAGCGACGGGGGCGAGCAGGGAATCAGAAAAGGGAGATACAAGGCCGAGACGGCGGATGGGGCAGCCAGGCAGCGAAGGCACACGCAGGACGAGACACAACAGGTGGATGAAGCGCGGGCAAGACCAGTAGTGAGAGAGACGATCACGAGAGAAATCTAAGGGATTTGGGATGCAGCCCAAAAGGCAGTTCCCTCCCTGCTGACAGCATTGATCGGTTGGCCATCCATTGGTGAGCAACTTGATGAGACTGTTGGCGTGCACAGGCTTAGCATGGAACATAACCCTTCGAAGTTCCTCCCGCGGCCATGCTCGGATCTAGGCACCCGCTTGCAGGGGCCAGCCGGCGAGCCGCGACGAAAACATCCACGCCAGAGAATCGGGAAAACGGGTTTCGAGCATGGCGGAGTGGAGGCGGCCTTGGACTTCCATGCGAGGAGGAGCGGGGGAAGGAAGAGAGGACACCGCAGTCGCAGCAGCAGCAGCAGAGAGGAGGTCGATCGAGGCAGGCGAGGAAGTGACCAGGCCCTGTCCGATGGGTTGGGGAAAATTGGCGTGAGCAGCCTCCAGGAATTCGGCAAACGAATTTTGCTTCCAAAACGGGAGCGGAAGTTTCCCAATCAAGATCTGAGCGAGAGGAAGATGCACATCGGCAGCTCCGCGGAGAAGGGCGATCATGGGTCTCCAGCTGTCAAAAGTGGCTCGGCTAGCTCTCATGAGGCGCGAAGAAGTGGAGGGGGGAGGCTCGGGAAGCGGGGGCCGCCCCAACGCCAGAGGCCAAAGTAGGCCGCGGAGGGGATCGCGCAGTGAGGGATGCGCCAAAGACGGGCTAAGAGGGCGGGCTCAGACGTGATCAGATGAGCAGGGACAGGTAGAAATTGAGCGACGTATGAGAGTACCGTGACACATCGCCAGGCGTAGTTCAGGGTGCACACTGTCGAAGGGGACCCCTGCGCGGCAAGAAGGTAGGTCCGATGCTTGCACTTCTGGACTGGGGGGCCCAACTGTCCAGCATTGCTCCAGGTCCCAAGCGGAGGCCCAAGTAAACCAGACTGCCCACAACTTCAAAAGAACTCCATTCGGGGATGTGCGCTCGAATCCAGGAGCGGTGCTGCTCGGCAGGAGCGGGAGTGCATTCGGCAGCAAGCGGGGCGAGCTTGCATTTGCTGGTCTTCAGCACGAGGGCGGCGACTCTCGACGCCGCTGCGAAGATCCGAGACAAAATCTTGAGCACCTCGATGCATATGATCGCTGCTCCAATGTCACCGGCGCACGCCCGAATGGCGCCAGCGCTCCTGAGGTCCACGCTGCGGTCGAAGTCTTGCATGAACGGGCCCGCGCAGAGCGCAAACCAGAAGCCCGATCCAGGGCATCCTTGGACGATGCCGCTCTGGACAGAATACAGCAGCGGGGGCTCTGTCATCGTCGCCGAGAAGCACTGCGCACAGCGGTGAAGCTCCGAGAAGAACCAACGCATTGACGAGGGAAGCTGCATGTGACGGAGAACCAGGTGGACCCACTCAAGGGCCGCACCCGGGATGGCCTGCTGAACATCGAAGCTGGGCAAAGGTGGCATGGCTACCGACGCATTCTTCTGCGTGGAATAGATTCTCGACGTCGCATCAAGCTCTATGATGTTATCGCCAAAGCTTCTGGATGTGGTGGGCCCTCTGTGCAAGGCATTCGTGATCTGCGGGAGTTGGCGAGAGAGCTTCCGAGCGATGACCCCCGCAATGACTTTGCGGTCCGTGTTTTCGAGACCAAGAGGGCGCCTGTTGGCGGGGGCCCTAATGCAGCCGACAGGGGCGCCCTCGTCCTCAGAGCCCTTCGGAATGCAAACCCCCAAGAGATATTTGAATCCAATCGGCATCGGCCGCTCGCCCAAGATCCACCGCGTCACATTGTGTAAGATTTCTGCCGAAAATCGAGCTTTCCGGAATGCTTTGCACGGGGGGCCGTCGGGGCCAGGCGCGGAATGAGAGAGACGACCAAGGCGCCGCTGCACATCTGCGAAGCTCGGGGGCGGGGTTTCAGAGATGTCGAGGGAGGGGCAGAAACGGGAGAGGCACGCGTTCGCGGCGGCAACATCTATGGACTTCGGCAGGAAGACCAGGCTCCAGTGAGCAGCGACCTGTTCGAGCATGGCCTGGGGAGTAGAGGCGACGGTGTTATTCTCGGCCCGCGCCCCTGCGAGCGCTGTTCGTCTGTCGAATGGCGCCCGTAGCTTAGCGCGGCGATGCGGGTGTCGCAGCCGCCTCCGCAACTTCGTCTTGACTGCGCCAGGCGAGGGAAGACGTGAGGCTGCGCCCAGCGCCGAGTGGACAGAGCTCTGCTGGCTCTGCGCGTCGGCGAATTGCATATCGTCCAGCGCGAGAGAAAAGCGAGCAGGACCCCGAAGAGCCACTCTATCATTGTCTCGAACCTCTAGATGTTCTCTAGCAAATGGGCAGCGAAGTAGACGCGAAGATAACCTGATATCACAACGCCAGACAGCCCGAGACATTGACCGCATAAGAGGCAGCTGGGAGGCGAGGCTATCCGAGTCCTTCCCGAGAAGAGCGTTCCTAGCATAGCGGGCGCCTTCGCGAAGCACCGTCTTGTAGAGAGTAAGCCTCTGGGGGGGGCGAGAGGCCCGAGACGCCCATGGAGGCCCAGTAGGAGTCCAAACTTCTGGTAGCCGGGGTGGTCGAAGAGGTGCTTGGGGATCGCGCGGTGCTCAGGGCCCATCGGGGGTCTCTCTCGGAGGATAGCCACCACGGGGGCACGATCTGAGATTTTGCTTTGTTCCAGAGTCCCCGGGGAGGTCTCGGACTTCAGAGGAGAGGTGGGTGCTGGTCAGGGTCCACCCTGGCCACGACACGAAGAGGCGGTCGATCGCGGAGGTGTGGCGGCGGCAGCCGTTGTAGCGAGTGTGCCCCATCGGGTCTAGCTCCGCGAGCTTGCCGAATGTCGGCTGCCACGAAGAGCTGAGTAGCCGCCTCCACTCTGGCGCGGCAGGGTCGTCGCCCGCCGCGCTCTCGCATGGGGCCTCGGGGCGCGGGGGGGCCCGCGAGACGTTGAACTCGCCGGCGAGCGCCGCGAGGACATGCTGCGGATCGGACTCTGCTCGCTGCAAGTCTAGGTGTAGATGTTCATGTATGTGACGCGTCTCGTCAGCACTTAATTAAGGATTGTGAGTGCTGTAGTGTATGATATGTCTAGGAGGTTCAGCAGCAGAGTCCACCCCAGCAGCCCCGCTCCCACGGGAACGAATACCTAGAGAGATAAACGTACGCAGTGCGCGCCCACGAACTAGCGTCGAGGAGGCCGCAGAGGCCCCGACGCCAGGAAGCCTGGAAAGCTTCGGAACGACAGCGATCACCCCACCTTTGTTGAGCTCCGAGAAGAAGCTGGCTTCCGCCTGGAATCCCGAGGACGACATGCGAAGGAAATCGGAGACATCAGAGTCGCTGCCGCGGCTCTCCTGGACGGCCAGAATCCGAAACCCGTGGAGAAGGTTTTCAACATAGCGCTGCGTCGTGGACCGCACAATGGGATCGTGGTGAAAGAGAGCTCGCCCATTCCAAGTGGCCAGCCCGAGCTCTGGGGAGGCATGTCCACCGAAAAAAAAAACTGCCAAACGCAGCACTGGGCAGGAGCAGCAGGCGCAGGGCTCGATGGGGCAACCGATGAGTTGACCCGCTCCTCGACCTCGGCGCGACGTATGCCGACGGCCTGAAGGTTGCTCTCCTCCCATTCGATGCATGGAGCGTCAGACTGGCGGGGAGTAGCACGAAGAAGCGGTTTCTGATCAGCACTGATAGCGGAAGACTTATCTGCGAACAATTTGAAATTTGGTGCAAATGACGAGAGAGCCTGCTTGGTGGCGAGCTCGCGACGAATCTGGAACATGTTCTTATCCTCGGAGACGTACAGGTCTGCGAGGTCCCCAGTGGGCATGCGAGCCGGGAGACGCCGAAATTCACCTTCTGGAAGTCGCATTGAGCCTAACGCCTGGGAAACCAGGCGGGAGGCCCATCCAGCAGCTCCCTTGACACGTACCACGAACCGCTTCGCCGCCACGTCTCCGTCGAGCTTCCACGCATTGTCCTCGAAGTTGGCGTCGGCGAGCCATGGGGACACGGCGGCCTGGACGGACTCTTTCGTGACGAGCTGGTTGGCCCTGACCACGATGATACACGGGTCGGTTTTCCTCTGCAAGTTGTTCGTCGGGTTCGCGGGTGGGGGAGGCACCGAGGACTGCACGATGTTGAAGGGCCAGCTTGAGTTCCTTGATCTCCTGGGCCATGGTGTCCATCCGCTGCAAATGGTTCTGGTGGGAGGTTTCCACCTAAGCGAAGCGCTGATCGACCTGCTGACTGAGGCCGCGGCACTGGGCACTGACGGATTGCTGGAGCTTGACCATGGACTGCTGCATGGTCGCCATGGCAGCCATGATCTCGGTGTTCTGCTGGGCGACGTCTTGCCGAAGGTCACCATCGGCAGCAGGAGGAGTAGGCTGATCTTGAGAAGCAACGGTAGGGAACACTTCGATTCCTTCCATGAGCGTGGCGGGGTCTTGGCCGCGACCAGCACCTCCTTTTCCTTTGCCAGAAGGGGCAGCTGGCTGCTCCTGCGAACGAGAGCGGCCCCTGCCAGAGCGTGCATCGGCAGGGGGCATGGGGAGAACAAAGGGATGTAGGAGGTGTCCACCAGCCATTGACAGCTGGGTGGCTCCAGAGGAGCTGCCACACTCAACCTCGGGCCTGTCCCGAGCCTTGAGCCAAAATGGCAACGGACCTCGTCCTCCTCCTCCTCCTCCTTCTTCTTCTGTTCCTTCTTCTCTTCCTTCTACTCCTCTTCTTTGATGTTCCTCCTGCGCCTCACTCGGGCGCAAGTCCTCACAATACCGCCTCAGTCCATGTCCTTGAAGCTGGGAGAGGGTGTCATCGGCAGCTCACCCTGGGATCCGGTCGCGGGGAGGAGGGGAGGAGAGATTGTTTTATTGATTTTCCAAGGGGAGGAGGGGGAACGAGAGGTGAGGAAAGGGACACAGACTTCAAGCGGATGGTTCCGCAGTGTTCGAGCGCATGAATTTCTTCAGTCCTGGCGGGCCGCGGTGCCACCAAACCGGCGCCGGGACCAAGAGCTGCCCCCGGGGGAAGGGGGCGAGACCTCTCGTGGGTTCGCGGATCGGAGAAAGCAGTCCTAATGACCTGTGGGCGTGGAGGAGGGGAGCGAGCATGGAGGGGGAAGGGAGGGGAGCGAGAGGTTTCAGAGGGGTCCAGGGGGATCCACGCGATTCTGGGGCGCTCTGGAGAGGGGGAGGGTGGGAAAAGGGATGCACATGCTGAGGAGAAGGAGAAGGAGGAGGAGGAGGAGGAGGAAATGGAACAGCAGCAGCAGGAAGAGAAGTGATGGGAGAGAGATTATTGGGGACAGGCTTGAAGCCACAAATCCTGATCTGCCTCATCCGGAATCTGAGGCCTCCGAGTTCGGCTCGCCACAGTCTTCAGGCGAGGAGAGGGGTAGGCAGACGGAGAGGAAAAGAAGAAGGAAAAGAGGATGAGGAGGCGGAGGAGGAGGCGGAGGAGGAGGAGGAGGAGGAAGAAGAGGAGAGGAAGGGCAGAAGGGGAGACAGAAAGGCAGCAGCGAACGAGGAAAAGAGGGGGGGTCGACGGATGGGGGTCCGCCGACCCCGCGCTGGCCGGGGGTGCGAAGGCGTGTGAGACGTTTGGCTGCTTGCCTCCCTTGAGATCCTGGCGTCTCGCCATCGCTCCGGCGTCCATTCCCCGTGCATTTTTCGGCTTCGTGTGCATTTTTTCCTTCGCAAGATGATACTCGATGATCCTCGCCGAGAACAATATGCACACGTCCGAGCGATGCCAAGATTTCTTCCGAGGCAGGCGTTTTCGCCCAACGGCGGGTCCCGGGGCCTCTCGCAGGTCGACCCAGCTGGAAACATGACGCAGAAAGAGGGTGTCTGGGGCTCATGGCGTGATTCTTCACGATGCGACAATATTTTCGCTACGTCGGATCTCGGGGTCCCCCTGTCCCCCTTTCCCAAGGTGAACAACCTGGCTTCAGGGGGGGGGATGGGGGGACTGCGTGAGCACCCACTTGTTTCCCAATATTCGGACATCCAAGGTAACGAACCATGGGTAACAAGCTGGACACCCCCCCCAAAAGGCCCAAAAGAGGCCCCACCCACGGGCTCACCCGTGAACTTCGCTTTTTCTCTGGGGGTCGGCGGAATGTCGTTAGTCTCCTCTTGAAGAAGTGGGGGAGAACTAAGATAATGAAGGTGGTCGATACCGCGACAATTATGATGAAGAGGAGGGGTGATGGTGATGGTGGTGGGGGTGATGATGGTGACGATGACGATGACGATGACGATGATGATGATGATGATGATGATGATGATGATGATGGTGATGATGATGCGGCTCCTGATTCTGCAGAGAATAACGATGGTGATGATGATGCTGATGCTGCTGTTGATGATGGTGCTGATACTGATGATGATGATGATGATGATGATGATGATCATGATGATGATGATGATGGTAATGATGATGATGACGATGCTGAAATTGTCAATGCTAGTGATGATGATGCTGATGCTGAGGGTGATGCGTCGCCCTCCTTGCAGCGTCAGCAACAGCAGGGCTGGTATGAAGTGAAGAAATGGCCGCTCAAGACAGCATGACTGTGATGATAATGATGGTGATGATGATGCTGCTGATACTGATCATGCTGCTGCTGATTCTGATCGTGATGGTGATGGAGATGATGATGATGATGCTAATGACCATGATGACGATGCTGTTGGTGACGATGATCATGATGATGGTAATGGTGATGACGATGGTGATGATGGTGACGGTGATGATGATGATGATGATGATGATGATGATGGTGGTGGTGATGATGATGCGGCTCCTGATTCTGCAGAGAATAACGATGGTGATGATGATGCTGATGCTGCTGTTGATGATTGTGCTGATACTGATGATGATGATGATGATGATGATGATCATGATGATGATGATGGTAATGATGATGATGACGATGCTGAAATTGTCAATGCTAGTGATGATGATGCTGATGCTGAGGGTGATGCGTCGCCCTCCTTGCAGCGTCAGCAACAGCAGGGCTGGTATGAAGTGAAGAAATGGCCGCTCAAGACAGCATGACTGTGATGATAATGATGGTGATGATGATGCTGCTGATACTGATCATGCTGCTGCTGATTCTGATCGTGATGGTGATGGAGATGATGATGATGCTAATGACCATGATGACGATGCTGTTGGTGACGATGATCATGATGATGGTAATGGTGATGACGATGGTGATGATGGTGACGGTGATGATGATGATGATGATGATGATGATGGTGATGATGATGCGGCTCCTGATTCTGCAGAGAATAACGATGGTGATGATGATGCTGATGCTGCTGTTGATGATGGTGCTGATACTGATGATGATGATGATGATGATGATGATGATCATGATGATGATGATGATGGTAATGATGATGATGACGATGCTGAAATTGTCAATGCTAGTGATGATGATGCTGATGCTGAGGGTGATGCGTCGCCCTCCTTGCAGCGTCAGCAACAGCAGGGCTGGTATGAAGTGAAGAAATGGCCGCTCAAGACAGCATGACTGTGATGATAATGATGGTGATGATGATGCTGCTGATACTGATCATGCTGCTGCTGATTCTGATCGTGATGGTGATGGAGATGATGATGATGATGCTAATGACCATGATGACGATGCTGTTGGTGACGATGATCATGATGATGGTAATGGTGATGACGATGGTGAGGATGATGATGATGATGATGATGATGATGATGATGATGGGCATCATGGCGATTATCACTATGATGATAATACTGATGATGATGACGATAAAGATGATGCTGATGATGATGGTGGTGATGATGATGGTGATTCTCAGTATAATTGTAATGCTGCTGATGATGATGACGATGATTTTGCTGATGACGATGAAGATGAAGATGATGCTGATGCTGATGAGGATGAGGATGATTATGATGGTGGAGGTAAACAAAAACGCGGATGATGATACTGATGATGATGACGATGATGATGATAACGATGAGGAGGATGATGTTGATCAATGGTGATGGTGATGAGGAGGTGTGGGGACAAGGGAAGGGATTAAGAGATGGAGGAGTAGAGGGAGCGAGGAGGAGGAGGAGGTAGGGAGAGGAGGAGGCGGAGGATGACGACGACGAGCAAAAGCGATGGAGGGAAGAACGAGTGGAGGGTCACCGACCAAACTGCCAGGGCTACGAGCGGGCCATCATTCGACAACCCCTTCGGGGTTGAAACAAGAGCTGTCAGTGAGGTGACACCCCTTTGCTCGGGGAAGCCCCAACTCGTGGCCTGCTTCCAGGGGGGTGATGCCGAGAGCACACCCAGTCGATCGGCCCCTGAACCAGAAACAACAGGGGCGGCCTCCCAGAATAGGGCGGCCCCATCAGGGGGGGAGGAGAGCTTGGTCCCAGAGTGGGCGCCTCCATGCACCCAGTGGCAGGATCAGCCAGCATCAACTCGGGCCGCATCGGAGCGAAGTCAGAATCGAATCGGATCGGCTGAGCCAGGACGCACAACGGCGCCGTGCAGGCGTCAGGCCGAATCGGATCGAAAGAAAATCGGAACCGAATCGGATCGGGCTGGCCAAAACCGATACTCCGAATTAAACATGTAAAGGGTGGGCTCTGTTTTGGGGGGTGTCTGATTCGAGCTGTCTTGGAGGGTCCGGCGGCCTGGGCAAAAGGCCGCCCTTTCATGACTGGTCTGGGGGGGGTCTAAAACTGCTCGTGTGGAATCGTTGTGACCCCCCTCCCATTCATTACGACGTGTGGAGTATCGAATCGGACCGATCGGATCGAAATGCACCCAGTGGCGGCACCCCCCCCGCACTCTAGCGCGCGCCCAAGGCGCGCCGGCCCGCGACGCGCGGGCGAGCCCGGACCCCCGGGCCACCCGCGACCTCGGCAACGGCCGCTGCTGAGGCCAGCCCACGATGAGAAAGAGAGAGAGAGAGAGGGAAGCAGCAGAGGAGGCAGAGCAGGAGGAGGAAGAGGAGGAGGCGGTGGATAAGAGGAGACGTAGGCCGAGGCGCGCAGATGGGGGTGCCTCGGTACGATCGGGCAGTGGACCGAG